TGGGTTTAGGGTTTAGCGTTTAGGGCTTAGGGCCAGCATAAATTATAGAGCAGAGCATGCATCAAGCCTCCCTTGCATCGACACGAGTCGAAGGGTAAGCAGAACGCAAACCGTCCTGACTCATTCATCACCCCAGCAATCACACTAGCCCATGAGCATTGCTGTCATACGGCTTGAGGCCACGTTGGCCTCAAGGTGATGTTTGTCAGCCTCACTCCCGGCCAACAGAGTGCAGCAGCTGAAGTAGCCACTGTAGGTGTAGGTGAGGCACGTGGCTGCAAGACCCGAGCAATCACATGTCCGCCAGCAACAACATACGCACGTATAGCCATGTTGATTGGACGGCACTTTTCTTTCAATGTCATGTCAAGCAACCAACTTCAACCCACAGACAGTCAAGCAACAAGTCCGACAAGTCAAGGCAAGCCTCCCCTTCGGGACTCTGCTATGTCCACGCGCAGGCAGGCACTGAAACCTCTGAGGGTCGTGCGCTGACCTGACATGATGCCCCCAGTGTGCTCATTAGCCCATTTGACACACTGTCATACTTCCGAGGAAGCGTTGGCCTCAAAGGCAAAGCAGAATGTACTCTGTGCACACCGGGCCAGATGTGTGAAGGATGCATCGGGAACGTGCACACCCAAGGGGCACTGGACCGGAAAACATCCTCGGGTACACAAAGAGTACTATGCATATCAGAGCAAAAGGCCAAGGCCAAGGGACAAGGGCTACATGATAAAATATGCGGCCTCCCACGGTAAAGGCAGAGGTCACACGAGGCAGCCTCTTATATTGCGCCCCAGTGTGAAACCTGGATTCGGAACACCGCGGAACGCCACCTGGAACGGCGCCCTGTGGAGTTCCGTCTTAGCTTGACGGATTCAGAACGCCGCGGAACGCCACGTGGTACGCCGCGGTCACACGCGTCCTGTGGAGTTTCCCCTTAACGCCGCGGAACGCCACGTGGTACGCCGCGGTCACACGCGTCCTGTGGACTTTCCCCTCAGCTTGACGGTTTCGAAACGCCGCGGAACGCCACGTGGTACGCCGCGGTCACACGCGTCCTGTGGAGTTTCCCCTTAGCTTGACGGTTTCGGAACACCCCGGAACGCCCCGGCCACGCGCGTCCTGTGGAGCTCCCCCTTAGCTTGTTGACGGTTTCGGAACGCCCCGGAACGCCCCCGGCGACACGCATCCTGTGGAGTTCCGCCTTAGCAGCACGCGTCACGCCACTCGCGGACGCTTCGCGGACGCTTGCGGATGCTTGCGGACGCTTGCGGACGCTTTGCGGACGCTTTGCGGACGCTTTGCGGACGCTTTGCGAACGCTTTGCGGACGCTTTGCGAACGCTTTGCGGATGCTTCGCGAACACAACGCAACGCCGTTTGGTAACCTCCATTAACCTCCCAACCCCCAGACCCCCAACTTTAGAACGGGAACCCTTCTGCGGAGCATTCGGGGAAAAAAAGAAACAGGTACCCCTTCAGCAACCCCCAAATACTTCCCCCGCCCCCAGATCATGAGGTCCCTCCCCCCGGCGAGCCTGCGGAGCAGTCATAAGTGCTGCTCACGCAGTGGCCGCCATGTTGGCCTCGGCTGGGGCGAACGGCATGTGCCCGTTTACTGAAGGTCTGCAGCCTAAACCCTAAACCCTAAACCCTAAACCCTAAACCCTAAACCCTAAACCCTATCTTCCCAGCTAAGCCATCTTGGAAGGCACCAGGGACCCGGCAGCACCAAGCCTGCGGCGTCAGTTCAAACCAAGTTGCACCCCGCGCACGAGATTTAGGGTTTAGGGTTTAGGGTTTAGGGTTTTGGGTTTAGGGTTTAGGGTTTGGGGTTTGGGGGTTTGGGGTTTGGGGTCTAGGGTCTAGGGTTTACTGGGGGTACTTGGAGGTTCGTGGTTCTCAATAACCAACTATAACTGTATTTCTAGCCCACTTATAAGCCGTTTAGTTACCCTGATATGGTGAGCATTGAGATAAAAGTGCAGTTTCTATTTGGTTAGTCAGTACCATGAACCTCCAGGTAACCTTTTGGGGTCCTTACTCCTTACTGTAAGGGGATCTTACTTTTTGGGGTCTATGTTAGGGGTCCGTTATTTTCGTAAACCCCCATGTAACTTGACACCATGGGCTGAAAGCAAGGGCGTGCGCTCTTCCTTTTAGAACATGAAACTGAAGTGCAAGATTCTGGTATCTGGAAGGATCGTAAACCGGCGGAGCATGGCCAATAGTGGCAACTGTACAGGAAGAAAGGAGGATGAGTTGATACTCTCTGATGCTCGTCGCTGGCCGCCCTTTCAAGTTAAACAACTGACGCAAGTTGGCGTGGAAATGCGTGCAAACTGTCATTCGGGCTCGAGAGGTGATGCTTCCCACTTCAAAGCCTCTCAGCAAAGTGGGTGCAAGTCCTCTGATCTCCATCTGCTTCATACGCTCTACCTGCGTGCATGCATATTAGCCTGAAGTGTGCTGTGTGCACCTTCAAAAGCTTAAAAAGCTGTACAACTTGAAACACACCTCGTCCAGGGTCCTCAACGGCTCGAACGCCCAGCGCGAAACCCGACAGACTCAGACCCTCAGAGGCTCAGAGGCTTGAAATTCATAAACTAAAACTCTTGGGTCCTTAGGCGGTCCTTAGGCGCCTCTCGCGCCTAACGCGCCTTCAGACAGCTTTGCGGCACGCCAGGGCCGCGCTCACTGCCAGCGTCGCTGAAGCAAGCAGCATGGGCCCTACATAGGGATCCTCAATGAACCCGAGCAGCGACGTCATGGCTGACATAGACATCCTCCCTTGAGCCGTCGTCGTGGGTGCCAGCACCGGCTCCTCCAGCACCATCGGGTCTGGCTCGGGCTCTGGCGCGCAAGACTCAAAAGACTCACGGCTCATGATGCACAGGCCAGGGCCGTGGAATCCATGCGGCCTCTCCATCGCATGACTTCCAGGTCCGCAAAGATACAAGCGGCCCTTCTGAAACTGGCAGATGTAGGGAATTGGTGGTGGGCTGGACCCTGGCAAGAGTACCTCCAGGTCCAAGGTCATAGGAGTACGCCGGCAGTTCATTTTGTAGTTGGCCGCAAGCCTCTGACCCATAATTTTTATCAGGGCTCTTCCCTTGGCCTGGAACTCGATGTGCTGTCGATAGCCGCCAAGGCTCTCAGCCACCGTACCCTCCCAGGAGCCTAGGATGCGAGCATCAAACTGGAGCTCCCGTTCCTGCCGGAGCTCCTGCCGGAGTTCCTGGGGCTCGAAGCTCAAGGGACTCCCGTGACTATGTGGCGAGCAAGAGCTCTCATCGTCACCAAACTCTCTCTCTGTATGCAACGGAGGCATGCCCAGCTTCGACAGGTCGGCAAGGCTGGCCACGATGCCCTGCGAGACCGAGGGAGGCGACATGTCTGTGCAGCTGAGGACGAAGCACGCACTGGGCGCCTTGCCCAGAAGCATCTTCGGCGCATTTGGGAGCTCCAGCTTTTCGGCTTCGGGCTCCTCTTCAGCCTCCTCTTCGGCCTCCTCTTCGGCCTCTTCAAAGCGGATGGCTGCAATCAGCTGGCGCTCTTCACCCAAACCCCAATTCGGCACGACGGAAAGGTGCAAGGTGACGTTCAACCTCACGCTGCTCGAAGCCCGCAGCTGGCTCTGCAGCACCTGGGCCATGGGCACGTTGCCTTGCTTCTTGGAGCTTTGCAGCGCATCGGCCTGGCAAATGATGTTGCGAGCATAGGCTGCGAAGCCCGCTTTTGCCTTGTCGTCGGCCATGAGGTCCTTGAGATCTCTGCCAGCCACAGGCACCATCAGCATGCTTTGCAATTTTGCCATGTCCTCGGAGGACGTTGTTGGCAGCTTGCAGCAGCCAAAGGTATCCATGGCGCAAGGCAAGATTACATCAAAGCTTCCTCGCAGGATCGAGATCATGCCCATGTTCGCAAAACTCAGTTTGCACAGCAGGTCAGTCAGTGTCCTGTGACGCTCGTCTGAAATCAATGCCAAGTAGGCAACACACCCGAACTTCGTGCAGAAGGTGAAGAGAAAGCAGCCTTTGACACTGCCATAGTCAGCGCTGACCCCAAACACAGGCAGGAGGAGCGCGGCGCAATGCCCAAAATACAGCACGAGCAGCCCGTGAACCACTCTTGGACGGGCACCACGGCTGGGCAGGTCCACCGGCGTGTGCTTCTCGAAGGAAGCGCACCACTGCAGCATGTCGAGAATTGCCCAGATGGTGGTCATGAAGGACATCATCGCCAAGCTCCACTTGAGGGGCGTAGAGTGGGCAGCCTGCGCCGTGCAGCAGAGGATGACATGGATGTTAGTGAGAAGGAAAGGCCGGGTGAGATCTCGAAGAGGCCGTCCCAGAATGAAGTGGCCGGAGAGGCACATCAGCAGCTGCACGTCAACACCCCACTCCACGCAGCGGAAGGTCAGCGGAACCTGGGGCACCGGAAAAATCGGAGCTGCCTGGCGTTGGTAACTGCAAGGCCAATCTTCGTAGGCAGATGCCATGAGCCACATGGCCGTAGCCCAAACAACGCAGTAGAGGCATCGACAAAGGCCCTGCTTCAGCTGCGCCACGGCCATGAACCTACCACAACCGATGATAACTGGCCCCGGAGTCTTGAGCGAACCGCTGCACACATGACATGTCTGGGGTCTGAAAGGCCATAGAGTTCTAGGGCTTGTTGGAAGCAGGGTCACTGACCCCGGCAAGCACCTTGCTGTCATTAGAGGGTATAGGCAAATGCAAAGGCACTGCTCAAAGAGGGCATGGCCAACATGGAGCTCGGGGGATTTCAGGGTCGCGGAAAAACGTCGCAGACGGGCATTGAAATAGGTACTACCAGCATAGCTCCTACCAGGACATGCTTCATTTTGGACTCCAGAAGCAGCTCAGAAGCATCTTTGGCCACTCTGCAGCCACGTGGCCCAGGAGCCCATGCCGCTTTGGGCATGCTACGGCATGCCAAGACACAGGATCACAAGCCGCCTCCAAGAGAGGG